TGATACCATTGAATCTAGGTGAACATATGGTAGTAGAGAGTAAGTGATCAATGATACCATTTGAAACTTGGTGAACATAAAGTGGTCAAGAGTAAGTGATCAATGATACCATTTGAATCTAGGTGAACATATGGTAGTAGAGAGTAAGTGATCACTGATACCATTTGAATCTATGCGAACACAAAGTGCTCAAGAGTAAGTGATCACTGATATCATTTGAAACTGGGTGAACATAAAGTGGTCGAGAGTAAGTGATCAATGATTCCATTTGTATCTAGATGAACATAAAGTGGTCGAGAGTAGGCGATCACTGATACCATTTGATACTGGGTGAACATGATTAAATTACTGGTTAGAACTAACAGCTGTGCTACAAAATACTTGTAACATAAGTTAAAATTTATGTATAGTGAGGTAGGTACACTAATTTCTATAAAAATTCAGTAACTATAAACAGTTTGGGCTACATGCTAGACCAACAACTAATGATATTAATATCAATAGAAAAGCACATACCTCTAGAGCCTTCATCAAATTTATCACTTCGTTTCTTTTTCTTCCACTTCCAAGGTTTAAAAAGCATTGTCAGTGTGGCTAACCTGGTAGGTTTTGGTTCACTAGATGGCACTGATCCTGTATGAGTAGGATTCTCCAAAGAACTGGTTCTCATATTGCTGTTTAGTTGTGATCCAGTACCTAGAAGTCAACACAAGAATTAGAAATCACTTTGTGGAGATAACTTTATTAAAAGGAAACCAGCAAGTGTTTTATTACATGTGTAGTGTAACAATTACAAAAGGTCTGGAAATAAAAACATTCAATCAAACTGTTAACTGTGTAACAATGGAACTATTAAATACCTATTACCTATTATAGGAAGCTTGTGAGATAACGGAATCATTTGCTGCACCTAAGTAGAACTGTCAACAAATGTCCATTACTGGAAGTTTGAGAGATAACAAAGACGTTGTGCCTATTTAGATGCACTTGAGGCAGTTATTTGACAAAGGTTACAAAGTTTTCATTCTTTGGCCATCTCGGGCATGATAAGTTTATCATAGTTTGAGATTCAGCTGGTTGTTCGGCTTTGATTTTATACTTCAAAATTAGGAGGGTTTTATTTTTTCTTAACATCCATTCATTTGGCACTGAGCCTATTATTTTGACATGTTCGTTGTTAGGCTTCTCACTACAGTCTTTGTTTAGATGGTTGTAAATTCTAGTCATTGGTAGGGCTGTTTTGTATCTTGAATCTGGTAGCTGGGTTTGGATCCTTGACCCAATGTAGACATGTCTACAGCATTGACATGTGAACCGATACACCATAAGTGACTTTTCTGAAGGAAGATTATGTCTTTGAAAAGGAAAAAAAAATACATAATTTACTTGTTCAGTTTGTGTAAACTTACCAGCTGTTACTGTAATTTTCATGATGAAGTAATCTAATTTGTAGAATATGTATACTTACCAGCTGTTACTGTAATTTTCATGATGAAGTAATCTAATTTGTAGAATGTTAAAACTTACCAGCTGTTACTGTAATTTTCATGATGAAGTAATCTAATTTGTAGAATATGTATACTTACCAGCTGTTACTGTAATTTTCATGATGAAGTAATCTAATTTGTAGAATGTGTAAACTTACCAGCTGTTACTGTAATTTTCATGATGAAGTAATCTAATTTGTAGAATGTGTAAACTTACCAGCTGTTACTGTAATTTTCATGATGAAGTAATCTAATTTGTAGAATGTGTAAACTTACCAGCTGTTACTGTAATTTTCATGATGAAGTAATCTAATTTGTAGAATGTTTAAACTTACCAGCTGTTATTGTAATTTTCATGATGAAGTAATCAATATTAAATAATAATAATTAATTTAAAATGTCTTCCCTTTAAAATTCATTAACAAAAGTGTTTTTTGATATATTGGTAAAGTTTATAACCCCATTTTTCTGACTTCAATATTCCCAAATGTCCTATCAAATACCATTCACTGGTTGTCATGGCATCAAACTTAAAGGAAAAATCAAGAACATTCTCAAACCAACTTATCTCTAAGTTGGCCTAAGAGTGATTTTAAACTGAAGAAATTAATATGTAATTTTTTCCTTTTCAAAGACCACGTATCTCTTTCAAAAACAACAACAACTGTGGAATTTACAACCATCTAAACAAAGACTGTAGTTAGAAGCCAAACATAACACACTTTAGAATAATAAGACCCAGGAAAAAATAAATGGATACTAAGGAAAAAAGAAGCCACATTAATTAAAAAAATTAAACCACAGCTGTGCCTAGTTAAACTGTCAACAAATGCCTATTATTTGAAGCTTGAGAGATAACAAAGACATCAACTGTGCTTTAGTAAACATTTGAAAAAATGTCCATTATTGGAAGTTTGTTAGATAACAAAGACATCAACTGTGCTTTAGTAAACATTTGAAAAAATGTCCATTATTGGAAGTTTGTTAGATAACAAAGACATCAACTGTGCTTTAGTAAACATTTGA